TTGCAATAAGCATCACAAAAAAAAACGGTGTTCCGTTTTTCCGAATTTAATTTTTTTTCTTCTTTCAAATAACCCCATATAAAAACGGTGTTCCGTTTTTTGAAGTTTAATTTCTTCGCTTATTTTTTGCATCAGAATTAAAAACGGTGTTCCGTTTTTACGTACATTTTTTTAGATAACTGGAAGTCCGTTTTTCCGAGTTTAATTTCTTTTCTTATTTTTTGCAATAATAAACACAAATAAAAACGGTGTTCCGTTTTTTATAGTTTAATTTATTATTTATTCCTTGCAATAAGCATCACAAAAAAAAACGGTGTTCCGTTTTTCCGAATTTAATTTTTTTTCTTCTTTCAAATAACCCCATATAAAAACGGTGTTCCGTTTTTTGAAGTTTAATTTCTTCGCTTATTTTTTGCATCAGAATTAAAAACGGTGTTCCGTTTTTACGTACATTTTTTTAGATAACTGGAAGTCCGTTTTTCCGAGTTTAATTTCTTTTCTTATTTTTTGCAATAATAAACACAAATAAAAACGGTGTTCCGTTTTTTATAGTTTAATTTATTTATTCTTTGCAATAAGCATCACAAAAAAAAACGAAGTTCCATTTTGCCGAATTTAATTTTTTTTCTTCTTTCAAATAACCCCATATAAAAACGGTGTTCCGTTTTTTGAAGTTTAATTTCTTCGCTTATTTTTTGCATCAGAATTAAAAACGGTGTTCCGTTTTTACGTACATTTTTTTAGAAAACTGGAAGCCCGTTTTTTCAAGTTTAATTTCTTTGTTTATTCTTTGATACAAATTACAATTAAAAACGGTGTTCCGTTTTGACTTAAATTTTTTTAAAAACCTGAAAGCCTGTTTTTCCAAATTTAATTTTTTCCTTTATTCTTTGCAATAAAAAAAAATATAAACGGTATTCCGTTTTTCCAAGTTTTATTGCTTTGCTTACTCTTTGCAATGATAATTAACTTGCAAAGTTTTTTACATTTTTTTTTGCACAATAATTATTATATACTATAGAACATTCTTTCGTTAATTACAAAGGATAATTAAAAAAAAAAAAAGTGTTCCTGATTTCGGAATACCTGTTGAATTATAAAACATTTAATTTCAAAAAATCATGAATAAAACGTTCTTCCGTTTTTTTAGAATTAAAACCGTAAGTCATAGGGCTTTCTGTCTCGTCCCCCCTTTTTTCTTTGACTAGAAGTCTGTTCGGGACTATTTTCTTGTCGCGTATTTATCCAAATAGTGCGTGCGTCGGTCACTCGTAAGAGTGGGGATTTTTGTGGTGGGGACGTGTGAGGTACCCAGGAACGAAAAGGGAAAACTTTCAGTAGTCCGACTATAATTTCCCGCTAATGACATCTGTCACAAGATAAATAAATTAAAGTTAGAAAACGTCTTTATCATTATTTTTTTATAATACAAATTTTATTTTAAATATTTTTCGTTCCATTTTTTTTTTCTAATTAAAATTTTTTTTAATTCTCAGTTAATTAATTATTGTTTTTATATTTTAAAAATTTAATTATTTAATAATGTCATTACAATAATTTGATGAATAACTTACTTACAACAACAGAGGTCGATAGTGTAGATTTAAAAAATTAAAAAATAAAAATAAACTTTGGCTAACTTCATCATCAACTTACTGTTGGTTACTGTCAACATTTCAAATAAATAGAGATGCGGGAATTACTTATAAATATTTATCGGTATCAATAAAATACAATGAAATAATTAATATATATTTTTTGAATAATGAGGTCAGTAAGAATGGACATGTCTAGAGATGAATGCAGAAAATGTTTAAGATGTTTAGGTAAGGTTATGAATTTATCATTTTACATATTTATTTGCTTTGCACAATTTCTCGGCTAATTAATTCATTTTTTAACTCTTCAATATTTTATAAATAATTAATTAAGTCATCTTCATTTTTATTTAATCCTAAATTTGGTGATGGCAATCCAGGCCTCAGGTTTTTTTTTGTTTGCAGTGAAAATGAAATGGAGGATAATTGTATAATAATTATTTATTGCAGAATTGGATGCTTACGGTAACATGGTGTCGGTTTTGAGAGCACAAGGTTCATTTACGGAGGATAAAAAACGGCTGCTTGAAGAATTGGCTAAGGTACTTCATATTTCTAATGAAAGACATCGGGCCGAAGTGAGACGAGCTGTTAATGATGAAAAATTGTCTTACATCGCAGAGCAGTATGTACCTATTAAAAAATAATAAAAAATTAAATTAAAAATTATAAAAAAAAAATTAATTTTAGATTAAATGGTCCAAACACGTGGACGGACTGGGCCATTGAGGGAAGAAGGATGATACCATTGTTGCCAAGATTAAAAGCACACACGGCGTTTACTGAACTGGCGAATAGTTTATCTCTGGTGCTGGCAGCTGCTAATGAAAAAAAAGCACCTGTTCAAAAAAACGAGTCGATAGTCAATACTAATATAATAGGTTTGTTTAATTTTTTAATTATAACTCTTAACAAGTATGTTAAGTAAATCAATTTATCTATACGACTTTGCTATCAGACTAAATGATTTTATGTAAATTTACCATCTAATTAATTTTAGCAAATTTTATTTCAGTTAATAAAACAGAAGAATGTAAAGAAGTTAAAAAAGATGACTTGCCTTTAGAAAATTCAACGACAAATTTACCTAAAACCCGAGGAAGAAAAAGAAAAAAACCTCTCATTGATCCTCCACCCAATAAAAAATTACAAAGTGATGCCTGTGTTAATGATAATAATGTTAATTGTTTAAGACAATCACCGCCATTGCCAGCTACTTCTAAGGTAATTAAAATAAAATTGATCGTTTAGGTAATTAAATTAATCTCGATGTAGTTACTAATAAATCAATACTCTGTGTAGGTAAAAGTAACTGAAAACACACAGCCGCTATTAACAAAAGAATGCCTAGTAAATTCCAGTCTAACAACGTGTACTGATACTCCGGTGACGAGTAGCGAAGAGAATAATGCTATTTCGAACTCGAGTAATGTTAACGAGATACCTCAAACTAAAACTGCCATTGATAAGTGTGATGTAGAATTAAAAGTAGACGAATGTATTAATCATGATAAATCGAACGACCCTCCGACCATTGATAAAAGTATGTATATATTAATGGTTATTGATGTTTATTTTTTTTATTGTTTCTTACTGTCTAGCTGAACCTGTAGTTGAGAAACCTGAGACGTTAGCTAACTCGAAGGATAGTTCTCCAATAAATTCTGTTGGTAATGCTAAGCGAGTCGCTAATGTTGTAGAAAATACGGCTTCTTTAAGTGGTCCTGGTCCGCCACAGATTAACTCTAAGGTTGCGTTTAAGAAACTGCCAATTGATATGCTCAATCATCAATCTATTACAAAAGTGGTAATTTTATTATTAATATTTTTTTCATTTGATTGTTTAATTGACTTAATTAATTTTGTTGGAAATTTTTTTTAGGGTATTACTTTAAATTCTAATAATACAATTAATATAAGTGCATTTCCTAATGCAAGATTAGGCTCCAAGACAAATGTTATTGTACAAAAAGGTTCTGCTCAAGATGTTAAAATAACTCGCGGTGGGAAGGTAAAATTTTTTATTAATTTTTTTTTTTTTTTATATTTATTTGATGATAATAATAAAAAAATAAAACTTTATTATTATTATTGTTATTATTTAATAAAGAGACATAGTTATTACTTCAGCCTAAATACCCGATCCAATTCTTGAAGAATGTTCATTTTTTTATTATTATTCTTTCATCATTTTCGGTTACCGAAAAAAGTTGCACTGAGTAAAAAATTACATCTTTATACATTTTTCTAAATATAATTTGTCTTAAAAAATTCAAAATTTTAATTGTTGTATTTTCAGCTGAGATTTTTTCTGATGGTATGAGATCTCATACCGAAAAATATTATGGTGAAAGAATTATAAAAAATTTAATATTCTTCAAAAATCGGATCGGGTATCTAGGCTGAATAATAACTATCACTCTTTGTTAAGTGAAAAAACATCAATCTATAAGTCATATATTGAACATATTATTATTATTACTATTAATTTTTAGAAATTTTAGACAGTAATAACGATAATGATAATAATAATAATAATAATTTATCAATTTATGCCTAAAATTAATTAAAAAATTAGAAGTTAATTAGAGAAATAATTATAATAATAAATACGTTGTTTTAATTTATAGGCAGCGATAGGTAAAGTTATAATGGGAAGTGAGAATCTTAGTCTAGCAGCTAAAACAGCAGCCGCGTTATTACCACATAGACTGGCTAGCAACGGTGATAAAAAATTAAATATAGTGCCAATTAAACATTCATCACACATAGACATTAAATCAAATAGCAAGTTAGGTAGTATGGTTGTGCTGGATATTCCCCAGGATGTACCTGAAGAAAAATCGATATCTAATGCTCTTGAGAGTGATCAAAATCATAAAAATGATACTCCTGACACACTTACCTCAGACAAGACTGTTTTATTAACCAATCAGGTTAATAGTAGCCTAGACAATCATAGTGAATTTGATAGTCTTAAAAATGTTACTGAGAATAGGTAATTTCCATATTAATTTATCAGTATGTATTTTTGACTCAATTTCTTATTTAATAAATATTTTATCATTTGTAGTGAAAGTGTAGAGCCGTCAAATATTTTACAAGATTCATGTCAAGAAATCGTTATGATTACGGAGGAATTGGTTGAGACGCAAGTCCTCGATGGTCAAACGGAAATTTACAATTTTGAGTCGACAGGTAATTTATTTTCTATAAAATAAAAGCTTTAATTAATAAGTATTGTTAATTAATAATTAATTATATTATATTGGATTATTTAGAAGACAGTGTCTGCGAAATTCAAACTGAAGACAATTCTGAGGTAGCTGAGATATTTAATACGGTGCTTGAATCGACGGAAGTAATTGAAAGTTTTGACTTCACTGACAGTGAAGAACATGTTTAATTAGATTTCTGATTTAAAAAAAAAAAAAAAAAAATATATATGTATAAATATATTTTTTACTGTATAGCTAAGTTTAATTTTTTATACGGTGACATCACGATTTTATTTAAACCATTAATTGTAAAAATAAAAACCTATCAAAATTTGTACAGAAACAGAGTGTTTGATAAAATATAACGAAAAATCATAAATTATTTATTTAATTGTTATCAGAAATTATTAAAAATAAATGACAATGAAATGTAAAATTTATTATAATTAGAACGAAAATAGGATATATATTGTCACTAGGTTTTATTGCATGGAGTACTCTAATGCGAAAGAAATAAAGAAGTATTTATATTTAATTACTGTCTTATTATTACAATTGATTGGTATTACAAATTATTGATGCATACTGAAACATTAATTTGTATGTGGATTAATATTAATTTAAAAATTGTGTAAAGAACCATAAGGTTAAAATATAAGTTGAAGTGAAATTACATTTAGTAAGGACGTGGAGGTGGCCCGCCACGCATCATTCCCGGAGGAGGTCCTCGCATTCCTGGTGGTCCAATTGGTGGTCCACCACGACCCATACCTGGAGGCATTCCTGGTGGCATACCTAAAATAATTTTTTTCATTAAAAATCCAATTTATTATTTTTTAATAATAATTAGTGCCGAGATTTTTGCCGCAAATTAAAAATAACAATTCTAATTTTTTATATTATGGCAAAAATATTGGTTCTATAAAAAATTTTTCAAAAAAAAGTTGTTAAAAATTTAGTTTTATAAAAAAAATGTCTCATGTTTTTTTCCTCAGGATTAATAATTTCACCGTTATTTCAAAATTAAGATTCATAATTATCACAAAACAAAATTTGAACCTTTAATTTAGAATCTTAATTTTGAAATTACACCGAAAATATTGGTTTTTTGAAAAAATCATGAGAAACATTCTTTTTACAAAATTAAATTCTGAATAACTTTTGTTAAATTTTTTTATATATCAATATTTTCGCTGTAATATTAAAAATTTGAACCATTTACTTAAAAATTTTGGCATTAACGGATTACATGGGTTTCACGGTTTCAAAAAATCGAGTTTTTTTTTTTCAATGTTTTATTAAATTCTACATCATCTCTAGAATATTGTCACTAAAAACTTTAAACGCGTTTTTTTTTCAAAACTATGTTTTCAAAGACGGTACCCAAGATTTCTTGATAATTAGTCAGCCGATTTTGATGAAATTTGAGACAGGTCTTTGAGATATAATTTATGAAGTCTGGAACGAAGGATTTTTTTTTTTTCAATTACAACTAAATTAAAAAAAAAAATGCCGCGAAATTTTAACCAAATTTTTAATTTTTTTGTAAAAACCTCTTCCAAAAATCCAATTTTCATTTTGTTTTTTTTTTCCCTTCGTTCAAGACCTAGTTTGGAGTCTTAACTAAAGCATATATTTTTTTTTTTTTTATTTCTAATAATCCTGCTAAGAGTTCTGCTGCTCGCCGGAAATGACGTCACTTTAGCAGAGTTTTTAATATTTTTTTTTTTTTTAATTTCAGTGATCCCTTATCAAACATGTATCTTTAAGACAGTAAAAATTTTGAATGAAATATTTAATTTTTTCTATTAAAAAAAAATTGTTGAAAATAGACCATTTTTTCCCGGAGAAAACCCATGTAACCCCTTAATGATAATGTATAAAAATTATACTCTTACCCATCATTCCTGGAGGTGGTCCCATCATACCAGGAGGAGGTCCACTAACAGGCATCCTGGGTGGAGCTCCAGGGTGCATTTGTGGTGGAGCAGAAACTTGCCCGCGGCCTGCTGGCGTCATTATTTGCTGAGAAGGTCCACCAACACCGCGAACGGGTCCTTGGAGCCCTGCAGGTACTCCGGCAACGTTTGCGGGCATGCCGCGACCGACTGCGCGGCCCATTCCTGGACCTGGAGCTGCACCGGGGATTGGTACACGAGGAAGACCCTCTTCTGGAGGCGGAGGTCCTTCTACTGTTAAAGAAACAATGTTTTCTCCGCGGAGTAAAACGAAACCTAGGACACGCTTTTTCTCTCGCTCGGGCTGCTTGGTGTTTTTCGGCTTTATTTTGCAAAACTCCTCGCAGTCCCCGAGGATCAGGTTCATGTGCTTGTCGAAGGCTTTGAATGTCCCGATAAAGGTCCTGCTGTCTTGGAGAATTATTCTCACCCGGTAGTTGATGTGTTGTAACATCTTGTTATTCTTTCCGATAGTCTGGAGTGATAAAAAAATTTTTATTAGTAAACATTCGTCAACGTTAATTGGAGGTTAGCCCACCCGCGCTTTCTGACAAGTATTTAGAAATTTTAATAATAATAACAAACAATAATTAAATCATTAAAGGGTGATTCATAATCAGCTGACTTACCATTTTGACGGATTTTTATTTTCTTCAGTGGATATAATTATTTGTAATTATAAAAATAGTTATTAAATTGCTTGAATTTTTCACCGGCGTACAAACGCCTAAAAACGTTCGACGACTCTCTTTAGGTTAGTTTCAGAAAAATATATATTCACAGATGTCACTTCAGTTGCGTGATATAAACTTGAGTTTCAGCGCCTCTAACGGTGAAAACAGAAGCTACGAGACATTTTACCTTCATATGATTAATTTTCAACTGGCGATAAGTTGGTTTTTCTTCATTTTTCTTCTTTACAAAAGTAACGGCACAAAATACACAAAATTATAAGCCTTACCCCTACAAAATTATAGAAAAAAATTCTTCAATTGAAAATTATAAAATTTTCAAAAAAAAAAAAAAATCATTACTGAGCAATTTCAATTAATAGTCAGCTTGATCTGGTAAGTGATATATATTTTTCACATGACATTGAAGTTGACAGACAATAAATAGTATATTTATAATTTTATAACAATTAAATTATAATGAAAAAAAATTTTTTAGAGAATTTTTATTATTTTAATTTTAATTTATATGACACTGAAGTTAGCCGACATTAGAAATTTGTTTATAGTTTTATAACAATAAAATTATTATGAAAAAAATTCCACATGTCAAAATTGAAAAAAAAATTATTTGTAAAAATTTTTAAAAGCATTTTTTTATTAAAATTAATTTGTAAAAAAAATTTTTTTAATTCTCAGTTGTCATAACATACAAGTTAACAGTCACTTATTGATAATTTTTTAATTTTATTTAACAAAAAAATTTTTTTTTGAAAAATCATTTTTAAAAAATTGCATATATAATTTTTGAAAATTTCTACATGTCAATTTTTTTTGCCATAATTTATTTGTTAAAAAAATTCTAAAAATTATTAAATATCTGCTAAATTCATTTTCATTCAGTTATCAGCTAACTTTAGTATGGATATTTATTTCACCTGCAGTATAAAATTATGAAAATAATATTTTCAACATCTGTTTCAGACATTAGCTCACAATCCACCTTACATCTAAAAATCTAAAATATAAAACAAAAAACTGATGAATCAATTAATCAAAAAGCTTTCAAAGATAATCCAATTTCCAAATAATGACTTGCATGCCAGAACCATGACACTTGATAATCCACAATGCGTAGATTGACCACCGATGAAAGACCCCGAAAAAGTAAGTGATATTGAAAAATAGTTCCCTATAGAATAAGTTAGTTAGTTAAGAGTTTTATTTGTATCACAATTATGTGTTTTACAACCCTATAGAATAATATGACATCTAAAAATAATTACAGGAGCTTTATCATCCTCATCAAAGACCGAGACAAACAATAAAAAAGTGCGTAGCTAGAAGAGCTTGAGAGGGTAAGAAAAAAGAGGTCACGCTTTGAGACGTCCAAAAATAATTCGATAGACCTGTAAGGCGTGGTTGAGCCCTCTATCAGAAAAAGTTCCTTGAGTTTTCCCGGGGCTCGTCCCGGCTGACTCGAATAGGAAGTAAGTGCGTGTGCTAAACCTTGATGTGGGTTCAACGACCCAAAGTAGGTCGCTGGGTCGTCATCTTGTTCTTGGTCTCTCCTCAGCCTCAGCTTCTTATTTCCAAAGAGACTTCGGTGAGGGTTTGTGCGTAAGTGTATTAGGGTGGCCGGGTATCCGGGAGGACCCAGTTACAGTCACATCACTGGGAAAAACCGAACCTTGTGTTCCCTTTCCTCTTAACTTGAACTGCGGAACGGGATGCCGGTGTGGGTAATGTGCCAGAGGTATATAATCCGAGATGGTAGGCCTTGACAAGGGAATTTTTGACGGTGCAGGAGTACGGGGGAGTTACAAAGAAACGAATCGCTTGAAGGTGTAAGCTTGGATACAGTATATAGACTTATACATCAACATAAACCTACACCAGCCCAAATACCATCAACCTCAACCAGCAGACACTTAGCACACCAACAGGTAAGAGGCATCCAGCTTGCTGCTGGTATTGGTGAGGTATGCGTGTGTCGATTGTGTGAGAGGGATAAGGGAAAGTTGGTGAACCCGGGCGATTGGCCCACCTTTCTTCAGCTTAGGTCATTGCTCCCAAATGATTATTCGATGGTCGCCAAAAAAACCCAACCAAATAAACAACTGGCCAAGGTATGGGCTCAGCATGCTATAGGACTGCCCAGGTAGGTATCGCTATACTTAACCGCTCCTAATGTAACATATAATACTTAACTGCTGGAGTATATTTATATATTTTACCTACACGCAACAGATACTTTGTTAAATGCGTAGTAGAAGTGACTAGCCCTTACCAAGCACAATTAAATCAATATTATTTCAGGTCTATCGCATCACCCTCCCCACTTTTTATTCGTCAGAGACCAACCAATGTTTAAGTATAAATACTTATAAAATAATTCGATTCGATGTAAGGAGTTACGACATCGAATACGGGATTAGTTTGAGGATCATCAGCATAAGAGATCATTAGCCCCTTTGTAAGTGTGTCTATGACCTTGTAGCACACCAAATAAGATGGTAATGTAATATAATGTCGTTGGCTCGTAATATATTGATCTATAGATTTGTTTACCAACTTATTTTTCTACTTTTTTTTTTAATTTACCGTCTACATGTTATGAATGACTACGACGTCGTACGATTTTGCTCAGGAGTAAATTAAATATATTATACTAACCTATCAAGAAGAAATGGGTGAGGTAATATTAAATAAAAATAACTTTTTTTATATATATATATATATTTTTTTTTAAATGTTTATTTTTTCCTTTCTTTTCAGTTACGAGTTGCATTTTAGTTAACCATGGTGGTTGCTTAATATAACATTTCTTCGTTAAATCAAATTAAATAATAATAATAATTAATATAATAATAATAATAAAACGTGGCTTACCATAAATCATGTACAACAGACAACCTTTTAAATTTAAATATATATAATAATAAATTTGTTTTGAAGCTATTTACAAAAAATAAGAAATAATTATTAATAATAATAATAAAAAAAAAAACAACGGCACAATTTTTTGTGCGCTCACAAGCTTTTTAAATAATGTGAAAAAAAAGTTTATAAGGTTACAAATTAATTTGTTAGGTAATTAACTAGTACATTATGCTCCACAATGCTCTCGTAATTAGATAAACTTACAATTATATGAATACATAACATACGTTCATCGATAGTTATTTATAAATATTTTTTTTTGCTTTTTTTTTTTGTATTTTTTTTTCTATATATATTTACATACACGCTGAAAAGTCGCACAATTTGTATTTTACGCTTATATTTATAGTTTTTAATGTTATTAATTATTATTATTATAATTACTAGATTATATTGATTATACGATAGATTATGGCAGGCGATTTTTTTGTAAAACTGGCTTAAACATTACTTTTAAATGTTATAAATAAATTAATTGTAATAGCCTTAAGTAGTGTTGCGGAACGTAAAAAAGTTTAATCGAACATCAGACTTAGAAGCCTTAACATGTCATATTTTCGAAGTTTACCGTAAATAGAGTAAGCCAGTCTTTGTACACTGTAGAATGTTAGATGAAAAATTTATTTATCGCGAAATTCGAACCTTAGAATTTTTCGTAAACTTGTTAAATGCCACGACCATCCTCTCACTTCGATGGACAGATGAAATAATTACAATATTTCTATCAATAAAATAATAATAATTATTATTATTATTATAATAAATATAACTGTAACTGTTAGACTACTATGAACAGGAATTAGGTGATGTAAGTTATGATTTTAAGGCATTGTCGGTATTAGAGAGTTCAACGACTGGATGAGAAGAGATCGGCCGTGGCACTTTATTCAACGTTATAATATACTATGAACCCCTTGGCCGGGGCTGTATCCTGAGACTTTGGAAAACTTTGTTTTCATCAAGTGATTTACATATTTATTTATTTTATTCTTTATTTTTTAATAAATATAGAATAGAAGAAAGAAACATTTTTAATAATAGCAATCCCCTCGAATCGGAGATGAGGCACGACGCGGTACGATGATCGAGGATGCTAGATGTTTCTTCTTTCTTATGAAACTCGTGCTACTGTTAAAAATTTTTTGAGAATAGTCATAAACATTATTTTTTTATTTTCGCTAATTTTTATACATTATAATTAGGGCCGAAATTTTTAAATAAATGGTTCAAATTTTTTATATTACGGCGAAAATATTGATCATATAAAAAAATTCATCAAACAAAAGTTGTTCAGAATTTAATTTTATAAAAAAAAAAAAAAAAGTTTATGATTTTTTAAAAAAACCAATATTTTCGGTGTAATTCCAAAATTAAGATTCTTAATTAAAAGTTCAAATTTTGTTTTGTGATAATTATGAATCTTACTTTTGAAATTACAGAGAAATTATCGATCCTAAGGAAAAAACATAATAACTTTTTTTTATAAAATTAAACTTTCAAAAACTTTTATTTAAAAAAAATTTTTATATGATATTATCTAATATTTTCGCCGCACTGAGAAAAAAAAGTACTACTCTTGAGAAAATTTTCTTGTCTCAAGAATTGATCGAATTATTTTTTGTTTAATTCAAGTGAACCTATTCGTTTGTTAATCTATCAAAATTACTGTCAATATTTTATTATCATGATAGATATTGATATTCTTTTTATTTGTCAAAAAACCAAAATTTATTTTATACAATTCTTGAGTTAAGAAATTTTTTTCTGGATAAAAATTTTTTTTTCTCAGTGGATAAGATCAAAAATTAGAATTGTTATTTTTAATTTGCGCTAATTATAATTTAATTTCTTGTTTAAATTTTCCTAAGAAAAAAATTTCAAGTTATTAAAGTCTCAAAATATTTTCAACAGAGTGTAAATGTTAAATATATATATATATCTAAGAATGTATGTAATCGATAATAATGACAATATATATAATATATGTATTTATTAATTAACTACATGTGCTTGTGGATTTTTATGTGTGAATTTATGTGTGTGTGTTTTAAGTGTATCACGTAATAAGTCTGTTACGTTATGACCATTGATGATAAATACAATTATGTAAACACACGGTGTTCTTTAGAGTAATAACAAATCGTTACATAAAGTACTTTGTTTAAAATAAATACTCAACTGATTAATCCTAGCAATTGTCGTTTTGATCTGGCGATTAAAATGTAAGTTACCAAATAAAAAACATGTGTGTTTACATAAATTACTCATTTAATAATGTATTACTTTACTATAATTACTCTTGTACTGGCAGTGGGCTCAACTACCCTCATATTTTTTTTTTTTTTTTTTTTTTCCCATAGTATTCTGGTAGTACGGAGTTGTATCACAGAGATATCAATTGTTTGGTGCTTAAATAATTTTGTCCTCGGTTATTAAAACAAAACATTTTATTTATAGCTCAATAATAATAATTAATAATAATTATAATTATATTAATAATCAATTATTATTATTATTAACTATAGTAGCATTTACGTTCATACTCGTGCCATTATACGCACAGCACAAATTACACATTGGCTGGAATATGTCGGGTAGCGCGTTATTAACGCAAGATATCAATATAAACTAAACAAATAATAAAATAATTAGAGTTACAAGATGATAAATACCTCTCAATAGAGAAGTTACAATAAATAACTTTAGAAAATGACTCTTAATTATCTAATTTAATTTGTAACCATTTCCGTTATTTTTTCTTCTTATATTATTTAATATATTTATAAAGTCAAACGGAATTTATTATATTAATCCTAATAATTTTTTTCAATATTTATATTTATATAATATATATATATATACTTATAATATATAATCATTCATAATTTATATAATCCGGTATATATTCAATAAACCTAATACTATGAACCTCGGCAGAGAATTGGTGACAGACCCGTACTAAAAATTGCTTGCAAAAAGTTTAACCAAATTTTTCTGGAATGATTTTTTTTTCTCAAATTAATAATAAATAAACTTTCATACACTTGGTGTATTTTTCTTAAAATTTTTCCAAAAAAAAAAACCCCAAATTTTTTAAACTTCTCCAAAAAAAAACTTTAAACGACCAATTTTTCCACGGGAAATCTCACGCAAATATATAATATAATTAATAATAATTAATTAAAACGTTTCAGACTATCAAGACAAATAATAATTAATCAATGAAAATCAATTAATTATTAAAAAAAAAAAAAACTGAAGCTTACTAAGAAGCGCGAGCAAATTGAATAACAGAGCTGTGTCTTTGAGCAACCATGAGTTCCGTTCTCTCGGTCTCCATGGATTCCAAGATGGCTTTGCAGCGCTTCCTGGGCGGCAAAATGAGAGTTTGTCTCGCAACAACGGGCACCGCTAGATCCAGAGGATCTGGCGAGGGCGCAGGACTGACCGGATTGCTGCTTGGCGGCGTGAGAATTTGCTGACTTCTATTCACGCCGACAATGCCGCCATGATATTCTCTCTGGCGTTCTTCTTCAACAGCTTCAAGAGCTGCTTCGACTCTTCTTCTGGCATCGTTTCCGGGGAGATTGAGCAGGGAAGAGCAGTCACTGCCACTGATGTCGTTGATCTGGAGTCCGTAGGACGAGTAGGCCGTCGATTCAGGATAAAGGAACATGTGTTGAGATTCTGGCTGGTTGGTAGGAACGATAGGAGGCTGGAACAGCGAGCGATCTTCAGCAGCAGCCGCAGCGGCAGCAGCCAGCAGAGCTGGGTTGACACCCGTCGGACTCGGCGCCTGGTACTGATCCCTGGGGTAAAGGTAGTAGGATAAGTCTCGGGAGTGCATGTAAGCCTGAGTGTCTTCAGTCTTGTTCTCTTTGTCGCTGCTATTCCCGCTGCTGATCACGCTGCTGGAGTCGCTGATCGAGTTCGCGGGGTTCGAGTTCCCATTGTGGGATATCTCGACGACGGGCTCCACGGGAGAGTCTCTGGGCGAGGTCGTCCCGGAGTCTGAGTGGGTCTTGATGTGCATCTCCATTATCTTCTTGGAGTTGAAAGTCTCGTGGCAGAGCGTGCACTTGTAGACCTTCTCCCCGTAGTGGGCGACCTGGTGGAGCTTGAGGACGTGGTTGTACCCGAAGGACTTGCCGCAAATGTCGCAGGTATAGGGCTTTTCGCCGGTGTGAGTCCGAGTGTGGACTTTGAGTTGCTTGGAGCAGGTGAATCCCTTGCCGCAGGCCTTACAGACGTAGGGCTTTTCGCCGGTGTGGGTACGCATGTGAATAACCAGCTGCCCGCTTTGTATAAAAGTTTTTGCGCAGACCGAGCATTTGTGGGGACGCTCGCCTGTGTGTATCCTCATGTGTCGGTGCAATTTACCGCTGTGCTCAAACGCACGCTCACACACGTCGCACTTGTACGGGCGCTCCT